TGACAACTCAAAGTAAAATGGACACGATTGAATGTAAAACAGTTTATATAGATTCATATTACATTATTATGTGTTGCGACCCATTTGTGCCAATTTCTAGGTCCAAAATATTACCGATTTAGCTCCTTTAAACATTTCAATGATTGATTAAATTTTTAAATGGGGTCGTAAGCGGAGATTGATATTATGTTTAGTTGTGGTTAAAATTAGAGTTTGGATGTCGGTATTATACGCTCTTTTGTCACTTGCGTTTACAGAAAAATTATGGAAATTGATAAACATCGCAGCTAACATCACCCCAGTTGAATTTCAGCCCCATTGGATCACTGTTTCCTATTTGTCTGCTTCGGGAGTTATGTAGGCCTACCAGTTACAGTACAAGAGTACACGCAGGCTAACAAGAAGTCGGCTATAATTATGCCTCATTGATTTGGTCCATTCCTTTCAAACTTTTGCTTCTTATCTATATATTAAAAGTCTTATTTTTAATTTGTAGTAAAAATAAATGTGATACGAATTGAATTGCAACCTCGTCTCAAACACAATAGGCTAACCACAGAGTATTTTTACTCTGTGGGCTAACGGTAGCACAGCCATTGAAAATGTTACTTGATAATCAAGATTATGTAGGTGGAGTTAACGCCTGTCAATCAAACGATCGGCCATTCTCGGAGAAGGTGAAGAGAGAGCTGACTCCTAGACAAAAATTACAAGGGTGACTTTGTTCAGAATAAAGTAATTTGAATGAAATTTTCAATATATTCTTCTTTCATCATCTATTTTTGAACTGTCAAAGCAAGAATGGCCAACGCTCTATTAAAATCTCTCATAAAGTATCAAATAATTGACTGTTTTTGCTAACTTAAAAAATCGTGCAAAGTGAAAAATAAGGTAATTTTTGGTTAAAACTTTTATGGCATGTAAATAGAATACATAGAAACGTGTATAGTAAAATTTACTGCAATCAGTAACAAACTATCACTTGATACAGGCGTATCTGTTTAATGGAATAATCTACCATTTATTGTACATATCTATATTCTTTAAAGAAAACAATTATTCAAAACACAATTATTTAAACAGGCCTTTAACCGACACTACATGTATATAATCTTGATTTTTTTATATGATTAAATTGTCACTTTGTAAAGTGTCCCTTAACAAGTTATATGAAAGGGTGCATTATAATAATATGTAGTGTATCAATATTCATTCTTAAACTTTAATATATATGCATAATAAACAAAATTTCGATTTATAGTATTAGTAAATTGCTTACCGTATCTAAAAGGACAGTCATCAATGTAATCTTTATTCTTATTTTGTTGCATTATAAATTCCATTCTTTGTTTATCTGCTAAACTAAGACTATTACTTAAAGGTACACCTCCATCTCTTTGTAATTTCTATAAAAAAAAAAAAGAAAAGAAAAAGGAAAAGATAATTTGCCAGGCAATACCAGAAGTTGCCAGGCACGATACGCCCACATTTTGTAAGAGATGGATGGAGAACAAGCTAAAAACAAAAGTGATTTTCGTACTATCAGGGGGCCATAATCCAGAAAGTTATGGTCTGAAATGCGCAAATATCAAAAAAGACTGAGATCTTTGGGATATAAAGATATATTTTAAGTTTCATCAGAATTGGATAAAAATTGTGACCTCTAGAGGGTCCACAACCTTCGTATCAAATATTTTGATAAAAATTGTGACCTCTAGAAGGTCCACAAGCTAAAAACGTGATTTTTCAATCAGGGGCTATAATCCAGGAAGTTACGGTCCGATATGGGCATATATGGAAAGGAGCCAAGATCTTTCGATTATAAACATACATTTCAAGTTTCATAAAATCGGATCAAAATTGTGGCCTCTAGATGATCCACAACCTTGATATTGTTGCACGACCAACCCTCTTGCTTGCAACCAACAAATTTGCGGTAGTTCTGTAGCTGTACAAGACGACACCCTGCAATAACCCAGACACAAACAGATAACAGAGTACTTCTATTAAGAACAACACTAACTTTATTAAACAAATATATATAATAAATATAATATTTAATGAGAGAAAGTTGCTTTTACCAGCGGCAGCCAGGCAGGATACGCCCACATTTTGCAAGAGATGGATAGAGAACAAGATAAAAACAAATGAGATTTTTTTATACAAAGTGGGGCAATAATCCAGAAAGTTATGGTCTGAAATGGGCAAATATCAAAGGGGACTGAGATCTTTGGGATATAAAGATATGTTTTAAGTTTCATTAAAATCGGATAAAAATTGTGACCTCTAGAGGGTCCACAACCTTCGTATTACATACTTGTAAACAATTTGCGTTCAAAGAGCGGCCATTTAGTTTGGCAGTTTCATTTCAATTTTCCCAAAATTCGAATTCAACCTTCATTATCGTGGAATGGTGATATATTTAAACATTTTTTCAAATCTGAAAAAAAAAATTGTGACCTCTAGAGAATATTTTGACACTATTTGCGAACGAGGGGCGACCATTTTGTCCGTCAGTTTCGGTCCGATTTCTACGAAATTTGAACTCAACCATCCTTAGGGTGTAACGGTGATATATTCAAACGTTTTTTTTTAAAACGGATAAAAATTGTGACCTCTATGGGGTCCACAAGCTAAAAACATGATTTTTCGTACAATCAGGGGCCATAATTCAGGAAGTTATGGTCTGATATGCGCGAATATCGACAGGAACCGAGACCTGTAGGTTATAAACATGCATTTCAACTCTCATCAAAATCGGATAAAAATTGTGATACACAATATTTGGTCCATCAATTTTGGTCCAATTTTTACAAAATTCGAACTCAACCACCCTTAGGGTGTAACGGTGATATATTCACAGGTTTTTTTTAAATCGGATAAAATTTGTGACCTCTATGGGGTCCACAAGCTAAAAACGCGATTTTTCGAACAATCAGGGGCCATAATTCAGGAAGTTATGGTCCGATATGCGCGAATATCGAAAGGAACCGAGATCATACATTTCAAGTTTAAACCAAATCAGATAAAAATTGTAACCTCTACAGTGTTCACACGATTTTTCGTACAATCAGGGGCCATAATCCATGAAGTTACGTTCCGATATATGCCAATATCGAAAGGAACCAAGATCTTGGGGAGATAAACCTATATTCCAAGTTTCGTTGAAATCAGATAAGAATTGTGACCTGAAGAGTGTTCACAAACAATTGTGGACGGACGGACAGGGCCGACGACAATATACGTCCACATGAAAATGTGGGCGTATAAAAATTAAGTTACATTCGTTTCGAATTGGTGCTGCCACCACTGCTTTCATGAAAGGTTACTCTCAGGATGCTACTAGATTAAATAAAATTCCCCACCTTAGTTATGTAAGATATTGGCAGCGATACCTTTCCATAAAAAAGCGGCCATTTTGTTGAGCAGTTTCATTTCGATTTTCCCGAAATTCAAATTCAACCTTCATTAATAATAATAATGATTAATAATAATCACTCTTGCAAATATTTCTCAAATAAGTATTTTTCAATCTGGATTTAAAGGAGTCTAATGATGGACTGGATCGAAGATTTACAGGTAGCGAGTTCCACAAATTGGCAGCAACAACACTAAATGAGCGAGCTCCAAAGGAGCTAAGTTTGGGACAACAAGGTACTTGACCGTAGATTTTTCGATGGCATGTAAGGTACCACCAGTTCTTTCAGATAAGATGGCATTTCACAGTATATGCATTGATATGTGAGAGACATTAATTTAAAGTCGATTCTTGCTTGCACTGAAAGCATCCAGTGAAGTGACCTAAGTACAGGGGTGATACGGTCTCTCAAAGGAGTTCGTGTTACGATCCACGCTGCCTTGTTTTGTATGCGCTGCAGTTTATAACTTGATGTTTTATTATATCCGGCAAGTAAACTATTGCAGTAGTCCAAACGGGAAAATACAAGAGAATGGACAAGTGTTACCGTGGCAGAAGGAGTAATTAGATTTCGGATGGAACCAATATTGCGATTATGGAACACACATTTTGAACGAACGTCGTCAACCTGTTTATTCATAGACAAAGCTGGATCAATAATCACTTTCAGATTTTTCACTGAGAATGAAATACAGATGCTGGAGTCAGCAATTTTAATGGGGCTGGTATTGTAATTAGACACCTTTGTTGTTGTTCCAAATGTTATGGCTTCAGTCTTGTTTTCATTTAGCTTGATCTTGTGGGAACACTCTTCCAGTTGAGATAGTGTTAAGATTGTATGCAGATTTATTGGGTGGAAAACTATATAATAACTGGATATCGTCAGTGTACAGATGGTGTTTCACTTGTTCATTACTTAAGAGGTTGCCTAACTGTGTAGTATACAGAGTAAACAGAATGGGACCAAGGACGGAACCCTGTGGTACACATGTTAATTCAGCTTCTGAGGAGTGAGATGCACGGATAACGGACTGATATCGGTCAGTTAAATAAGAGGGGAACCATGAGAGAACCGTACTTTCGACACCAAAGTGGCGGGTGAGGTGATTTAAGAGAACAATGTGATCAGTTGTGTCAAACGCAGTGGAGAGGTCTTATATTAGCAACAGAGATATGTCACCGTTATCAACTGCCCATCGAATATCACTAAGAACACGAATCAGAGCTGTTTCGGTACTGTGTTTAGGTCTGTAAGCAGACTGGTACTTGTGCAAAAGGTTATTCGAGTTTAAATGCTGTAACAGTTGACATTTAATCTTTTAAAAGAAATGACAAATTGAAAACGGGGCAGTAGTTTTTAAGGGTATTTGCATCCAGTGAGGGTTACTGTGTCCAAAAGCATCAACCAATCAAATTGCTTCTCTCTGCTTACCCTATACAGAAAATGTTCATCTTCGAACTCCATCAAGGCATTGACCTAATAAAACACCTACACCAAGTTTGGACATTCTAGCTCAATTAGAAAGAGAGTTATTGTGTCCCAAAAAGTGTGATGGACGAACCCATTCTAATAGTCCCGGCTTTCTTTAAAAGGCGGAGGACAAACAAAGGAAATTCCGTTTAAATTCCATTTACTTGATATGTATCAGCATCACTAAAACCTTCTTCTAAAACTTGATATGGTTCCTTTAATCCACCCACAGAGCTTGGATTCCACATCCAAAATAAATACTCCAAATTTTTCTTAAAACAAGTTGGTCTGAAAAAAAACAATAGTAAACTCTTATCATGAATCTAAAGCTTCACACCAAATATGAATGGCCACATTTTGCAATAGATGAACAGATAACAGTGAAAATCAATAGGGCTCATCCTCTCATTATTCTAATGCTTCACATCAAAATAGAAATAAACAGAATTTCACCGATTGGTGAGTATGAGGCTGGGAGACTAGAGGGTCAAACCTGGACAAACGAAGTACCAATATCTGACCATATAGCCCTCTACATACTAACCTGGGATGTACAGAAATGGGCATCTGTCGGGGTCCAGTCACCGAAACATACGCCCACAGCAGCTAAGTCGTCCGAGGAGTCAATAAGAGTTGTCACAATTTTTTTCTATTGTCGGGAATGAAACATTTATTAATACACTAAAATCTGATTAAGAGTAACAACTCATTAAGTAATTATCATAAAATCATTAGAATTTGTTTGGCTTTTAGTTATGCCCCATGCTAACGTTTAAGAGTGTATCCGTGAGAAGACCATGCAAAAATCGCAAAAGGAGCTAAGATGGGGGGGTCGGAAGTTTTTGATCAAACTTATGGAATGACACCCCCTAGGGACAAGAGGTGACATGCTGAAGTGGTTACAGCCTGATGTCGCTCTAAAGGACTGTACTGGAATTATTCATTTTATGGGTAAAATTGCGGTTTTCACATGTGTATTTATCACCCTTTTTTTTTTAAGCACATACTGCATTCTATGGTGGAATAGCAACCTTCTAATTTTGACCCTGTCTGATAAAGCGGGTGGTCAACTTCCACGCCAGAACTAATTTGAAAAGAAAAAAACAGTACATACTAATTATGTGTGGACTTGTTTTAGGGTACCATATTCACATTGTCCCTATAGTACAGAAAGATACACTGTAATTTTTTCTCTCATGGTCGCATGTAGGATTTCTTTTGATGCTTTTGAAGTGCTAAGCACATAGTATCCATAGGTGTAAAAAAAATGACCAGAATGCAACATACTTAAAATATACAGCTTATTGAAAAGTGCTAAAAATAAGCTTTTGTTATACATTTCCCGCGAGCCATTTATCCGATCGGTTCATTTTGATTACGATTATTTGCATATGAAGTACGAACAAAAAAAGGTGAATATAAAAAATTGCCCATCCATAGATGATCACCTTACCGTGGTCATAGTATTATTTATTATCCATTATTCTCTAAAATTAGTATTCCACCATTGACAAATACATCAAAAATCGGTAAATCACCTCCCAGGTAATTATACAATTGGAAATCGGTAAATCACGTCCCAAGTAATGTATCTTTTTTAAATCACAAATGAATTAACTAGTCTTCCATCTGTACACGTGGTCATAAGTCAAGCTCAGAATGGCAGTGCGATAATCTCGCGATACTGTACATTAGGACTGACGCCCAAAAAAGTCACTGTCAATCTCTATAGACAACCTGTCGCCCATTTTCAGACAGCGTAATCACTTGATTGGGGGGCTCCTGCGCAATTTAGTTGATTAATGGGTAATACGTAGAGTCCATGATGTATTCTGGCGAGTGATTAAGCTGTCAATATGTAATTATAAAATACCTTTTTTATAAAGAAGATAAATGATGTTAGACATCATAAACTAACAAAGAATACAAGTATACTTTATTACAAAAACATCGGTGAACTAATCTAAAATCATAACGGCAGTTATAAAGATAGGTTGCCAGGCAACGAAACATCAGCCCACAGCAGCTTAATCGCACAGGCATTCAACAAGAGTTGTCGCATATTTTTACTTTTTTGGGTAATGAAACATTTATAATACATTAAAATCTGATTAAGAGTAACAACTCATTAAGTAATTATCAGAAAACCATTAGAATTTGTTTGGTTTTTTTAAAGTTCTGCCCCATGCTAACGTTTAGTATATGAAACTTTTAACATCATAGATTTAGCTGTTCAAGTCATAAAAATTCATTGAAAATCAATATACTTGTTTGTCTCAAGACCTTAAACTCTGTATCAATCTAAAGTCAATCAGATGATAACTTTAGCCTCTAGAGAGTCACAAGATTTTTCAAAGTGATCAAGGGACATAACTTTGGCAGTAATTATTGGAAATCGTTGAAAATCAATATGATTCTTTGTCTCATGACCTCAAACACTGTATAAGTCAATCGGATATTAACTTTAGTCTCTAGAGCAGTGATGGGATTTTGCCCGAATATTCTGGACTTGTTCGAATCTTTTTTCCAAACGCCCAAAATTGTCCGACCGTGAATATGCCCAATCGGACATCAAGACATGGTGAATAATATTCAAAATTACGAAATTAATATAGTTTACTGAGTGTATAACTACCACTCAACCAGAATATCCTCGATAATACGCTGGATTGATTAGGTAATTAAGTGATCAACGTATTTATCGTGTTATACGGTCTATAAACCTACCTTGATTAACTACTTAATCTGCCTTGATTGACTGACTTAATCCTTTGTCGGACAATTCATTAATCTAATCTTAAACAGAAGCCAATGTTTCCCCTTTGTCGGACTATTCATCAACCATAATAATTTTAATCTTTGGTTAACCTCGTGGTTTCTGCATTGTCGGACATTTTAATCGCATTGATGTGAGTCGACAATGTGTATAAACTAGTCATAGAAGTCACATATTGTAAGAGTATATAACGCCCAGATCAATAGACAGTCATTATAATTTGTCTGCGATATCACTTCGGTGGAAGCGAGCGTTAAATAAAGCTATTTCACACACACACATATCCGAAAAATACTAGACATTGCTAGCACGCGGTTACAGCACTTGGGAAACCTTGGCAGATTCCGTTACTCTACATCTAGCTTCGGCTGTATGACGGTAAGTATATGTACCTGGCTCTTTCTTCAGTATAGGGTGTTTGAATTGACAAAAATAAAAATAAGATAATATATTGATCTTATGGTTTTCCTGAATCTCTAACAATCTAATTATCAGAAAATAATTATATTGAATAATATTGAATTAATATTGAATTATATTGAATAATCACTACAAAGCAATATATTAAAATATGTGAAAGTGGTCAGGGTGGTAATGTAACTTGGACGGAATTTCAGCGGGGCCAGTTATTTCAAGGTTACATAAGAATATCGAGTAAATTGATGATTCTACCCATTCTTCTCAATGAATTCCTCAAGGAAATAACAGAAACAACTGACTGGAAAGATAAGGTTTAGCACAAGGATTGGTCGAAAGTTCATTTTTCTTTTAAGCAAGCTACTGAATGAGTAAGACGAAATTACAGTTGCCATTTCACAGTCGATATTCAATATAATTTATTCAAATTTCTTCTAAATTAATGGTATAAGTTTAATTATAATAATAACCAACTCCAATATCCAAAATCCAATCATGTTTTTCTCTAAAATTCAATCTCGTCCAAGAGGCTAGCACACATTAGTAATGTAACTGGACGGAAAAAAATCAATAATCATAACTAAATAAGATACAATTTTAAAATCCAATTTATTTTTTAATATCTAACATAGTAATAACTTCTTTTATAATAAATAACATAAAAATAACATAACAATAAGTGTAACATGTATCAGCATCAAGGGATGGTATTAATTATTACATCTGAAGTGAAAAGATAACAACAAAATTTAACCAGACCTTTTGAGTATGTAGACAAAACAAGTTGATAATCAAACATATTCATGGCTTACTATCCTATAAAAGTAGCTTGGTTTATAATAAACTTTGGTTTCTTACTTTGCAAGAGTTGAGTAACTTGTTATGATATTATTTTGTTTATTCTTGTACAATTATTCTTGTTACAATACAACATTTATTTTGCAAAAAAATTAGAAAACCTTGTTGGTTACTGTCAATCATAATACTGAGGCACAAGCTAGGTCAAAACAATTACGTGTTTGTTTTGTTTTTTTTAACCCTGAGCCAATTAAAAGATTAGCTACCCTACCCCTAAGCTCATTAAATCAGAGGGGCCCCTCTCCCGAAGCCAATTAGTGGATTATTGTTAATCCTAATACCCTCTTTACAAATTTGAAAATAACTAAAAAATATTTTCTATACATAGATATACTCTGTTACAAAAATGTACAGATTGTCGTGTTCTTTCTAATGATATAAAATTCAATTGTAAAAAGTAGCAATTAAATTTATATTACATTGAAAAGTCATTCCACTAAAATTATGACTTTTTTCTGTCATAATGGTAAAATAACGTGAACAAGTATGCCCTAACTTTTTTGTTAAAAATAGAAAAATGTTGTGCCTCACGTTGGCAGCAGTGTTCAAAGTAAATATAAATATAACTTTTAAAAAGAAATATCACCCCAAATGACGGTCACTTCATCGCTTTCGGCAATTAAACATTCTGCCTTTCTTTGGATATATGCAAGAATGGTCGTCTTCTTTGCTTCATTGCGTCGAAAATAAAAATATATAGTTGAAATCTTCGACAATGTAATATTCCTCTATGTAGCTTGTATTAAATCCTAAAAGTTTTGATTCAATTTAGCTTTCCAAAGTCTAGCATTATTAGCCGTAAGTTTTGTGTTATCGTCTGTTTGAAAGCGTATCCAAGCTGGCGGCGACACGCTTGATCTCGGCTCGAGTAGACGCATTCTTCGCATCATAACGTCCCAAAAAATAATAAATAGTCGATTTCTTAGACATTATCATATTCCACGATATGCCTGGCAGTAAATATTAAAAAATCTGATTCCATTTCACTCTCCACATCACAAAATTATTAGCCGTAAGTGACAACGTGAAAATATTGGAATAATGCCAGAGTCATTGACACGGTGTGACAGGTATGATGGGGCCGCGATGGGTGCGAACTAATTTGCTATCGTCAAAAATGGGTAAAATAAAACTATTTAGTTTTGCTTTAGTTATCCATGACAAAATCATCGATGGAAAATGGGATTTAAAAAAGAAAAAAAAAAAACCCCAAAACACTCAAGATTGAATTCTTCGG